TTCAGGAGTAGCCAGTCCTGCACGTGCAGGGCCGGCAGACCCTGGTGGGGACGCCCAGCTCCTCTTTAAGGATGTGGATTGTGGTCTCTGGACCATTCCCCCTCTTCAGCGGGCAGTGTCATCATGATGCGGCGCTGAAAGCCGGCAGCTCCTCTTTAGGTGTATTGCCCAAATAACCCCTTATAAAACTGAGCATCTACAGGATGCTTCAAGTGGAAAAGCAATGGATTTCCTGCAGCAAATCACAAGTCTCTGTGTGCCTGACCTTTATATTAAAGGTGAATATAGTTGTTCCACGTTATGCAAATTCAGATCATCCAGCTTGATGCCACACTGCCACTCTTCCCCTTACAGGGCAAAGATCAAGTACATTGGGATTAGACTAAACTTTCCTAGTGTAAAGAGCAGAGTGGTACAGACTGAGGACAGGCTTTTAGAAACCATTTATTAAGACAAGTGTAAGTCCCTTTTGTCCTTTCCATCAGACCTTTGACATGGGAGAAGTGATGAGCTCTTGCCCTTGTTACGGGTGTACTACCAGGCAAAAGGTGAAAGTTGATTTTAAAGCCGTGTGGATCCGTTCATCAGACATCAGAACACTCTTGGGCAGTAGCATGAGATTTTTGCATACTTCCCTTCCCCACAGTGCAAAATCCATTTTAGTGTTTCCTGGTTCATCAACAGCTCCTCACAATGTGTGTGCCCATCACACTGGAGACAAGGAAGGTGTCACTGCTGCCCAAGCCATACAGCGGGCTGGCACTGAGGCATCCCACCACGTCCTCTCCGGCTGCAAGAGCACCAGGAGCTTCTTGCTTACAAACAAACCCAGAAGTCCTTCAGTCTGCAGCAAGGGAGAAGGCTGGAGTTAAAGCAGATAAGGTTTTGTTGATAGGATAATGTTGAACCCAAATTAATGCCCAGGGATTTTGGTTCTGGGGTGAATCTGCAAAGTTCATTTTTCAGATGGTATTCTCAAACTGTGACTACCAATCCTACTTATAGCTGGATTACAGATAATTCAGAAATAGTGTAAAATGCGGTAAAAGCAGCTTTCAGCATTTTGCAGTTAACAACAAAAAACAGGTAGCAAATATGTAAATCAAGTATTTGATTTTATTTATGAATAGCTAAAAGTTACAAAACAGGTCAGTTGTTCTCTTCACAGCTGTTCTTTAAACAATCAGCTCCTTTCCCCATAATGTTCCTCGTAAGACAGTGATTCATTCAGCGCAAAGTCATACTAAATGGTTTCCAGTTTTGCTTTACCACAGTAGGGCAACAGTTCTACTGCATGCTGGAGAGAAAAGAAAAACTGTGTAAGATGTTCAAACAAGCAGCAGTTTGGCCTCTAGAAGCCTCTGCCCCTTGCAACTGATGAAGGTGAACATGTGCACCCCGAGCAGAGATTTTGAGCGGGTGAATTATGGATGAGTTTCTTTCTCACGCTGACATAGACAGTAGTCCTATTTGGAGCTATTACTTTCTGAAGGCGTATAAAACTGTGATGCCTAGTAGGAGGGAAATTTGTGCTTTTGAATCCTGTGTGCGGTTATTTCATTAACAGCTCCCTTCCCTAACAACACAGTAAACAGATTAATCAAGAAATGCATGGGTTTCAGACCCCATCCACAAACTGGTTCAGTTCCCCTTAGGTGGAAACATGAAGCATCACTGCAGTTTTTTCAAACTCTCTGTTCCTCTTTGCTGGGGACTCGCTGAGGTTAAAATCAGTCTCAGGTTAGCTCATGCTTCCCTCAAAACTGTCCTTCCATGCTGCCCTCAGCTCAATTCACAGCTTGGAAATGGTCTTTCTTCCTCCCAACCGTGGGAGCTGGAAATTGTGTTCCTATGTGTGGGCATTCTCCAAAAATTAGACATATCCTTGAGCAAATATGTGCTAGAAAACAATGAGGATATTTGACTTAATATGGTAGCTATCTTTCACTTCCTTATCACATTTCTTAGTACTAAAAACACACACTGAGCAATATTTCATGATGTTTTTATTTGAGAGCTCACCTAGCAGAACAACTGTATGGATCTTACCAGAAGCAAGTAGTACTCGGTACTGAAGAAGATCAACTTTTGCCCAGTCTTCTTAAAATGCAAAGAGAGGCCAGATGTAATTTTGTCATATATTTGACTTAGATTAACATTTTCATAAGAATGTTGACTATAAGAAATGTAGTTTCTATCTATCTTCTGCTTCAGGGGACTTCCTGTAGAACTTCTACTGACTTCATCTTTAATACATTTTATTAGTCTTTGACATAAGGCTGACCTTTTTTCCTGCTCACAGAAACCACAACCCATGGTGATTTTTCTTTCTGAGCATTTTTAATGAACAGCTTTCTAAAAACTTCCACTTTCTAGAGTTCAACACACACAAGAAACACAACTTATCTATCCCATAACAGTTAAACTTGTGTTTTCCAGAAAACTTATGGGAATTCTTGTTATGACAGCTGACACATCTTAGTCAAATTTTCACTTCCAGAAGTAGCAGCGCATGGGATTTTGACATTCGTTTTCTTCAGATGCTTTGGCCACTCATTCTATAGAAATCACAAGCAAAGTGAAATAATTTCAGAATTCAAATAAATCCTCACAATTAGTCACACTGTACTAACTGCATAAAACCCAATCAAACCCGTTCAAGCTAACAAAAAGGGTAAAGATTGCTAAAAACACACCAGAAATCTAATAGATGTGAAAAAGAACCCATCAAAATTCTCACCAATGACACTGAAATCATTTAAGCGCTCTCAAAGTGAAGAGTCCCTGATTATTGGAGGATTTGCTCCATCTGAACCATTCTTTTATCTTCTGCTCTGCAATCAGGGACCTTTTCTCTGTTTGGAGTCAAAAATTTTCACCTTAGCCAACGCGAGCATGTACAGCTCCCATCCTGGGATGTATTTCAGAGAAGCAGAGTAACCCCTAGGTTAAGCATTCACTGTAACATGTATGTATGTGAAGACATAATAAAAGACAGCCTTTCTTCCCACTCCAGATCAGGATCTAAAGAGAGCAAAGAGAGTTCACAATTTTGAAGTAAAATGATGGATGGCGAGGTGAATTCAACCTTGAGAGGGCCAGAAACTGAACACCTGTCCCCTATTTCCACAACCACACTGATCTTCCCTTCATGGCAAAAGACCTGATGTAGTGATAGGGATGTGTTACGTTCACATATAAGTCCAAAATATGCATATGGTCATACAGTTAACTTCCAGAACTAGAGTGAGAAGATAATCTTTGCTCACAGCCTTATCTGTAAGTTTTCATTTGCCTTCATGTAAGGCAAATGCAGTTATAGATTGACACTGTAATTCCTCTACCCGACATTTTAGGTTCAAAACAAATATATTTCCACTTACCTCACAGTATATGCCATCGCTAAAACAAAACATGAATGACTAGGAGTTTGCTTCACTAAAGTAAGGTAGTTTTTCAAACCTACTTGGGTCTGACTTGCTCCTCTATACTTAAGCTAAGTGAACCATGGCTGACTTCACTCAGCCAGGAACCTCCGCAAGATGGATACAGATGTTTTTTTGCAGTCTTTTTATCATTATGGTTTCCCAGTTTAAGCAATTGCTCACACTTACCGACCTGTTCAGAATAACATTTACTATAGAGAGTAGAATAGGCTCCTGTCACAAGGAGTCTTCAAGTGTGGAACCGACATACAGCCAGCATAAAGCAATGCAAGGAACTCATCAGCAAGAAGGGACATGTGTGCCTTGAAGGAATGTAGATCAGAGGCTGCGAGGGAATGAGTAAAAAAGGAGAAAAAGAAAAAAGGGCCTGCTTTCTGAAGATTTTTATTTCCAAAACATGTTCTGTGCAAACACACGGTCTTAGCAACTTTTCTTAGGATAAGATCCCTCACTCTGTCTCTCCATAGAATAGCTAAGGAAAAGAACCTCATTGTAGGAAGCAGAGATAGAAAGAAGAATGGAGAAACTCCAGCTAAAGTCACTTCTACACACTTTTCTGCAGTTTAAGGTCCATCCTGGCTTTAAAAAAAAAAAAAAGAGGGATCAAGGAGGGCGAATTATTAAAATAGCTCTATAGGAAAATAAAGTGTATGAGTAATTGCTGCCCTGACAATAACTGTGCACTGAGAAAGCAACACAGCTATTGACAGCCAGCTGCGCCAAATTCCACTCTCCGTTGTGCCCCAACAACCCTATTGATCCAGTAAGAGCAAAATCTGCCTTTCTGTGTGCTTGCACAAGGTCTCCTTCCCAGAGGCAAATATCCAGCTGTCCTGTCCTGCCCTGGCAGCCTGGCATCTGCGGGTGGACGTGCATGAAGGGGTTAGTGCGTGCCAGTGCTGGCATGGGGGCCAGGAGGGCCCCCCAGGTGAGAGGGGCTCTGAGCGCATTCCCCGCCAGCCTCAGCCCCCTTCTTCCTTGCGGAGCGGAGTGAGGCCTGGCCTCTTCCTCACCGTGCTGTGGCAGATGCTGCCGGCCTGCCAAAAGCCACAGCTTG